CCCCAAAACCCCAAAACCCCAAAACCCCAAAACCCCTTAACATTTTATATAGATAGAAATAGGAGTATTAATAATATTAAATTGAAAATGTTCTCCATTCAGTATAGGTAGGCAACTCCATTTCCTAAATTCTTAGCCAAAGTCATTATATTCTTCGAACTTCAGATTTAAATCTTAATTTCAACTTTTTATCAAACGATTCAGAACTGTTTTGACTCTAAAAACTAATTTTATAATTTGTTAACCTTTTATCCTGTAGAACAACTGAGAAGGCAGTTTTAGCCACAGCGATAGAAAAATTTGTCTCCCGAAATTATGGACCTAAAACAGCAGCTAATATTGTGAGGAAGTGCCAGACGCTTGATGAGGCAAGAAAGGAATTAGCCTCTCTGAAATACTCTGATGATGCCCAGATGCACAAAGATCTCCTAATCTTTTACTATAATGGGCTAAAATATCTGAATTGTCAATTCTCTTTTAGGCTTTATGATGAAAACTCAGTTGATATAGGGTTTCTCTGGAGAGACTCTCTTTCTGGAATTGAGTATATTTCCCATCAAGGACTGGATTTGGAAATGAATAGTATTTTATACAATTTAGCAGTGTGTATACATAATATGTCATATAACATGCCTGTTACTAAGGAGTCTCTTAAGACCATTTCTCTTAATTTCCAACAAGCAGCTTGGCTTTTTCAAGAAATCAGAAATAATGTCGATAAGATCGACCCTAACACAAGAGGGGTGGATTTTAGGCCAGACAACCTGGATAGACTGGTTCTTATAGAACTTGCCCATTCCCAGTATTGATTCTTTAAGAAAGCAGAACTGACAGATTGTAGTGCAGATCTGATAGCCCGTGTTGCTAGGCAGACCTGGAGTTATTTCTACAACGCTGGAATTTTAGTGAAGGGAACTCTCAAACTAGAGCTTGAGAAATACTGAAATTATCCTTTAAAGACTCTGAGAAGTTACACTGAGATTTATGATGGGATATCATTGATGTACCAAGCAAAATACCTGTTCCCAAAGTTTCAAAAATAGCAAAGAAGGGTTTGCAGATGTTTATGGCTACTGTAATGAAGCATCAAGAATTCTCTCTGGTGTATCATTTGATAATGAACAAGTAATGGAGGGAGTGAAGACTAGACTTGATGATAATGAGGTTCTAAGAAAGGAGTTGGGAAGGATGCATGATTTACTTTATCATGAAAACCCAACGAAATACGAACACCTTCCTCCTATTGAATGAAAATAATTATGCATTTCTCAGAAGCCTTGAAGAAGAACTTAATAAAGAATTTAGGGGTGCTTGGATTTCAGCTGAGAAAATGAATTCTCAGAGTGCAAATGATGTAGGTTAATTAGAAATTCCGATTGTGTTCTGCTTAAAACTAACTTAAATCCAAATACCTGCATATATAGCTGATGGATATTTTTATTGATCTACCTATCTTTTCAAATATCATAAACTGGCCTTTAATTAATGCTAATATCCCGAGTTGACATTGTCAATATGATATCCCTTCTCAATAAGCATAGCTGAATTATAAGTGTCAAGATCGCTTAGCACTTAACTCGTCTACAATGCACGGTATATATTCCGACTCTTTTGTGTGTTCAAATTGTCCTAAAGTAATAAAGACTTACTTGAGATTTTTGGGAAATACCTAAAGCTAATATGAGTATTTCATTTAGAAAAATTGAATGGGAATGTTCCTTAAAATATTTTGTCACTATCTAGATGTCTTAAAGCTTCCCAACGTGATCATTTTCATTCTCAGATTTGATTACGCTAGAGCATATATCTGACCTTTATGTTGCAAGAAGGGAAATTTTTGATAATGAATAAACTGCTCAATCAAAGCTTTGCGAAGAATTAACAGGCTAATTCATACTGTATCTAAATGTATTTTTATCTTTATTTAAAATTTTAAACTCTTACCTTTTAGATCAATGAGAAATATGATCCCTCCGCTAATGATACTGGTAAGCTTTCTCAAGTTAACAATCTAGAAAATTATTCTTCAAATACATCTCCAAACTCTCAAAATTTTGAAGAAGAAAAGCAAACAGATCAAAATAGTTATAACCATGAAGGTCATGTAGATCCAACTGCTTATGCAGGTATTCATCCGAGTCCTTATGCTCAGCCTGGACCTGCAGTAAGCATGGCCAATTATGGAAATGTAAAACATGGTTTTTATGGTGGCTACCACGGACAGAATAACCAGCCTGCTAACCCTGCTTATTATGGCCAATATGCTCAACCAAATGGAATGGTTGATCAGAACCCATCCGAGCAGGTTCCTCAGCAGCCAGCTCCCCAAAGTGATGGATATTATGGGGTTACCCAAATAATGACCCAGCCTCAGACAACCTACGAGAATTGAGCATCCATGGAATATTCCAATAAACCATGACCCACAGGAGGTAAATTAATGCTTTATTTCTTTAGATACTACTATTGAAGAAGGCCCAACAAGAGGAGAGTCCTTATATAAGAACATTACTCAATAAATGTCAATATTTTCAGTTAATTTCAATCATATTTCTTGTTTTGTACCCAATTTGTGAAGAAAAGTATTTAGCTCTTGCTTTTCTCTCTATAATCTATAGATCAATTTTAGACCTGTATTTTTAGCGTTTCCACAATTTTTGCCAGAAAATACGCAATTTAATTGGGGTTTTGGGGTTTTGGGGTTTTGGGGTTTTGGGG